CTAAGTGACAGAAAATTCCCAATCTTACTGAACTTTCAATCTAAGCCACAGCAATCGTTAAATAATTCATTAAATCCTTCAGGAGTTTATTTACACAAAGTGTTTCAAGCCAGCCCATTAAAAGCATTAAACCATCTAAACACCAAAACATTCAGCTACGTTTTTAGCACCCTGCCTTGGAACCACAGCCAAAAGTGCTGGTGGGAGGACTGAACCCTTGTGATTATCTGGCCTAGGAGGCAGCAGGGCAATATTTAATGATATATGACAAAGGGAAAATAAAGTATGGACCTATACTATAATAAGCTAGCCTTAGAAACGTGACTATTACACTGATTTTTCACCCGGCTAGAATTAAAATAGGAAATTAAGGCATTCTTTTTCAGGTGCTGAAACAAAGGGGAAGCAAAACATTTAGCACTTGGTGTAGAAACAAGTACCTGAACTACTGCAGATGCAACAAGAGTGTAAATAGTTTCTTTTGTACTCAGAGAAGAGATCAAGTTCATTGATGGTGTTCTTGGTTTGTTGGGGTTTTTTTGGTTGTTTTTTTTTTTTTTTGTCTGATTGTTTTAATTTACTTCAAAAAGAAGAGGATGTTAAATTAAGATAAATCGAGCTTGGAACAAGTTATGTTTGCAAACACAAAATAAGCAGAGCAGAAATTAGCTCCCTCCGTTCCAAACAGGCACAACATTAAAGACAAAAAGAAAAGTCCTGGCGTTAATGAATCATTATCTTGCTCCTACAGGCTGGAGATAAGGAAATAAGGAAACTTTGTTACACAGCTCATCCCGGCAGCAAATTTGCAGCCCTCCAGCGAGGACCTGTGTGCTCTGATAGTTACAGGAGGCAAAAAGTGTTGCAATGTCTTGCAGAGACACTTTATCCAGAACATATTTATCAAAGAACTGCAGCAGCACTTCCAGGGCCTCCAATTTTGCCGGCTCGGAATAACCAAATATTTACAACAAGTCAGCCGAGTACACACACTTCAGCTACAAGGGATGGAGGGGAAAAAAAAAATCCTATTTCCACTACAGGTCCCACACACAAGTAATTTCAAACTTAAATTTCTCCAGTTGTGCACGTGGGAACAATAAAAATTGGCATTTCAGAGTAAATTTCCCAGAAAAATTGACATTAAACAGCAGCAGTACCTGTTCCTCACCATGGCAAAAGGCTTCAAGAGCAGGTGACCAAAATAAGTTTGGGTTTTTTTTCCATAGAGATCCCATAATGACATTTGCATTAATTAAAATAAGCTTGGAAAACAACGGTCTTGTAAAGAAACTGGAGGTTCTTCTAACAAATGAGGTTTTAATGAGCATTACTGCAGTCCTGCCAACAGACCCACCACAGAGCACGGGAGGAATCAATGGACTGACAGGCAGGACTCCTGGCTGGGATCACCAGCTCTGAACCAGATAAAAACCACCAGGAACCAAAAATCCATCGGCAAGAGAACTGCTGCAAGAACAGTGAAAAAAAAAAAATGAATACGAGATCTCAAACTCCTGATTAGACACGATTGGAAGTGTCAAACTCTCCCTAATTCGACAACACCAGCACCGGGTTTCAATAGTACACGAAGACAAAGGTTCCTCCTCAGTAAAAAAAACAAAACAGAAAGCACTCGAAGTGCACCACAGAAAGAAGCACAGAGAACTGAGGATCTTTCACACATCACACACTGCACAGAAAATTAAATAAAGTCTAATTTAAGCAATGCAGCAACACGTTCCACACTCTGCCAGCACTAAAGCTGACCCTGCTTTTGTCAGTGCCTGTCACTCCAGACCAGAGGGGAACGTTGCAAGGGGAATAAAAGACTTGAAAAGGATTTTAACTGCTTGCTGTCCCAACCACTTCTGATTTCACTTAGTTCCTCTTTTTTTTCCTTTCTCAAAGGCATGCAGCAGTAATTATTGAAATATTTTCTACTAGAAATAAAAACTTGTAGTTGCCATAAATAACCTTTTTGCTCCTTAAAACTCACCAACACACACGTGAATCAGTAACTTCCATACAGTTGCTTCCACATGAGACCAAGATGTACCAAGTGAAAACACTGCAATTTTAAAAATAAATTTATTTTTTCCCACTTGGAGGTTCTCTCTTTCCTCACCTTTCAGATCACAAAAAATGAAAAGGGAAAGAAAGAGACCAAAAATCAAATCCAAATCCTGAGCTACCACAGTGGGCACCCCTGGGTCTCTCAGCCAGCTATTTCAGGATTGTTCCCACCTAGTCACTGATTAACACCAGGTGTCCAGTAGGATCCTGAGCAGTAAAGTCCTAAGGGAAGTGATAGTCCCTCCCCCTACTCAGAGACTAACAAGAGATATTTGGAGATATCTCAAATTCAACAGTAAAGCAAAACTTTAGGCAGCTGAGAAGGTATTTGTGCTGGAGCATGGGTTCAGATGTTCAACCTGTTTCGAACTTAAGCACCTCCACAAAGCAGCACACACGCCACAATAAAATCCTATTTCATAGCTGCACAGCCCACAGGCACCATGTGAGTCTACTGCCTACTTAAACTACTTTTTTATTCATTGCTGTCTTTAAAAAAACCCCTCAAGCTCCTACCCCTTCTAAATACAAGCAGGTGAGCGAGGCTCCGAGAACAGAACACCCGGTGAACTTCAAGAACTGTGTCGTGTCTTAAAACTTAAAACTCCGAACAGACAAACCTCTCCTGGTGTCACCTGGACCGGGAACAGCAGCACTGGAACACTAATGAAACCTGATGGATCCCCCTCGAAGGGGAACTCCAGAGCTCAAGGCTTGGAGTGAGGGTGTGCTAGGATATTATGTAATGCTGCTTTAGAAGCCTGCTCCTGCTAAGTATTCCCTATGGAATTCAGCCTTCCTAGAGCTTGCACGGAACCCAGCGACAGCCCTCGACAGGGAAGCAGGGCGAGGAGCAGCACCTGACACCATTCCTCAGCAGGGAGCTGGGCAGAATGATCCCATTTAACCTTGGGCACCTGGACAAGAACCCGAGGGCCAGCTGCTTCACAGAATCACAGGGTGGTTTGGGCTGGAAAGGGGCCTTGGAGATAATCCAGTTCCAACTCTGTCACAGGCAGGGACACCTTCCACTAGACCAGGTTGCTCAAAGCCCCATCCAAACCGGCCTTAAACACTTCCAGGGATGGAGCATCCACAACGTCCCTGGGTAACCTGTGTTAGGGCCTCAACATCCCCATAGTATATTTTTCTAGTATCCAATCTGAGTGTACTCTCAGCTGGAAGCCATTCCTCCTTATCCTGTCACCACATGCCCTTGTACACAGTCTTGCCCCATCCTGCCTCCCAGTTCCCTTCAGGTACTGGAAGGCTGCAATGAGGTAACCCCAAAGCCTTCTCTTTCCCAGGAAGAACAAGCCCAACTCTCTCAGCCTTTCCTCACGGGAGAGGTGCTCCATCCCCCTGATAAATTTGATGGCCATGTCCTTCATTCAGTGTCCTTCATTCCCCAGAAAGGAGTGGCCCGTGTAACCTTGGTCACTCTGTGCCCGCACAGGAGGAGAACCTGAGGGGCAGCTACCTCTGTCGGGTCACCCCAGCCGAGGGCAGCGAGTGCCCGCAGGCTCAGGGCGGGCAGGGGGGACCGCGGGCACCGCCGCCTCCCTCACGCCGTGCCCGGGCGGGGGAGCTGCGCGGTCCCTCCAGGGCATGGGAAGGCCGACACACAGTGCCCTGCCTCCTCCTCCCCACTGCGGGGCAGAAGGCACCGGCCGCACCCGCCCTTCAGCGGGAGCCCCTCACCGGGAGCCCCCCTCGCCCCCCCGGCACACGCTGCCTCCGAGGCGGGCGGGAAAGCGGCCGCTACTCACAACTCCAGCATCCACTGGCCCTGCAACACCAGGCTCCAGTTGGAGCCGCACAGCACTCGCACGGGGCTCCGCGGCTCGCCGGGGCTGGAGGAGGACAAGGAGGACACGGCGGCGGGACCCAGCAGCGCCGCGAGGAGCAGGGCGCTGAGCAGCCGCCAGCCCTGGCGCCTGCTGTCCGGCGCCATGTTCGGCCCGCCCGCCCTCAGGAAGTGCGGGCGCGAGCGGCCGCCGCGGGGGCGGCGCCTGCGCGGGGCAGGGGCGGCTCCTCCGGGGCGGCTCCGCCCGGGGACCGCCCTCCCCTCACGGGAGAACGCGGTCAGCACGGGAGGGAAAGGCTCCCTTTCCCCTCACGGGCAAAAGGCCACATTCCTCCCACGGGAGAAGCCGCCGTCCTCTCATGGGAAAAGCTCCCCTCCCCTTCCCGGGAAGGGCACCCCTTCCCCTCACGGGCAAAGCCGCCTTCTCCTCAGGGGCGAAGCCTCCTGCCCCTCACGGGCAAAGCACCCCTGCCTCTCAAGGGAAAGGCGCCCGTGCCTCTCACGGGCAAAGCCGCTGTCCACTCACGGGCGAAGCGCCGCTGCCCCTCACGGGCAAACCCTCCTACCCCTCACGGGAAAGGCGCCCGTTCCCCTCACGGGCGAAGCGCCCCGTTCCACGGACCCCGGGGAAGGCTTGAACCCCGATCTCCCGCTCCAGGCACGGCCACCGGGCAAAGCGCTTCGGCCTCAGTGCTGCGGTGGCTTCCCGGTGGCTCGGTCAGGTTTTGTGATCCTCCTCCTCGTATTGGGGCGCCCACAACGAGGAGGCCTGTTCTTGGTGCCGTGTGGTGAGAGCTGGTTAAAAGGCTGTGAGGCGCCAGCACAGTCGGGGTGTGCCGTGGGATCACGGTAAAACAAGTGTTCCCTAGGGCCAGGAGGGATTGTCGCGGAATCCCGGCATCTCAGAAGAGTTCGAGTTGGGAGGGACCTTTGGAGATCATCCAGTCCAAGGCAGGGTCACCTGGAGCAGGTGACACAGGAGCTTGCCCAGGTGGGTTTGGAATGTCTCCAGAGAGGGAGACTCCACGCCCTGCCTGGGCAGTTGTTCCAGTGCTCTGCCACCCTCAAGATAAAGTTCTTCCTTGTGCTGAGGTGAAACTTGTGTTTTAGTTTATGGCCATTGCTCCTCGTCCTGTCACTGCTCTGCCCCAGGCAGGCAGCCCATCCATCCCAATGTATTGCCTACCCCATCCTAGACACATAATTCCGTGTTTTCCCTTGACTTCAATGAGATTCCTGTCAGCCCCATCCCTTTGGCTTGTCCAGGTCCCTCTGAAAAGCAGCCCTGCCCTTGAGTGGAATGATTGCACCCTCAATTAGTGGAAATTAAGACAATCGACTTCCTTAGTTAGCCTGGTAAATATACCAAAAAAAAGAAAATAAGACATCATTGTACAGGTCTGGGCTGCCTTCTTGTCCAATATGGAAATTCTTGTTTGGCTGGAGATTATCCCGGCTGGGAAGTAACTTGTGATGAAGGATTTTCTACCATTTACTGCAAAAAAAAAAAAAAAAAAAAAAAAAAAAGTTGATAAGCTGTTGTTAAAGCATTTCTACCTTTCTTCCCCCTCCCCCTCGCCCCCCAGTAAGCAGTAGGACTTACACCTCTGGATTTTATCCCACTTCAACCGTTTATCTTATGAGGTTCCTTTACATCACTCCCACATTTCCCCACAGGAATCTGGGCTCAATGGAACCATTCCTTAAAGCCTGAGTGTTGCTCTGACCTTTATTTACTGACACTGGAGCGATCTCGGCGTGTCTGGGAACCGAAGCAGGAGGTGCCCATAGCACCACTCACACTACACAGAAATGAAACAATTACAGTGATTTTTCCTCTTTTGCTGCTTCTCAGGACTCATGAGGCCTCTCCCAATGACCCAGTGATATTCTGTCCTCGCTAGGTGTTCCAACAGTACCTGCCATTCCCAAAGAAGAGATCTGCTGACAGACATCCCTGCCTTGCTGTGCTGTGAGCTTCGTGCCACTGCAGTTAATGCCAGCTGAGGATTAAGTAAGTGAGAGCCTCTCAGAACACATATATCTGGTCATATTTTCCATGTGATACACATACACTGAACTCAAAGTCTCTTTATGACAAGTTTTCTAATCGTTTAAATATTCCTGTGGTTTGTGAAAAAAAAACCAAAACAAACCCCTCTAATTTATCAGTGCCTTTCCTGAGTGGACAGTTTGAAAACTGGATGTGGTGTTTTAACAATGTTTAGACCTGATATATTTAGGGAAAAGAAAGAAATACAGCAGTAGCAATTATTTGAGAAGACACACACGTGCCTGAAGTTGCCTTGTGAGGATATAATACAGAAAGCACTTTTTTTCTGCTGCTAGTAAGAACTGGAGAAACCTGAGAGAAATGTTTGTTTTTCTGTAGATTCTTTGGAAGAAGGAAAAAAAAAAAAAGTGATTGGCCAAAACAGAGGAAGGTTTGAGATCTGGTGGAGCCAAATTAAGAGAATCTATGTGACAATGCTGTGCAAAAGGGAAGGCTGAGGAACATTTTGTTGTGGGGTGGTGCAGGGTGGTGAATAATTTTATTTGCATCGTTCAAGAACGTGTGAATGGATGGGGTGGCAAAACAGAGCTCCATGAAAGGGCTGAGGAGGAACATGTAAAATGATGGCTCCAGATAAACGTGACTTCAAAAGAACAAGGGAAGAAAGACTTGATAACAAAAAGAGTGAAGGACTTTACCAGTAATTTTTGAGTAATTTCTGGCCACATTCAACACAGAGGAGGTTTGCATTTTAGGCAAAGGCTGCTCAGGGACGAGCCAGAGTTGGTTTCATTCCTAAAAGAGAACAGAGCGTTCCTGGAACAGGGGAGACATGACATGGTGCTGCTAATCCCTGGGAAGTAGGTCAGGCTTGCAAAGATGGAAGAAGGTACATCTCATTTGAACCTGATTAGGAGCACGAAACAGGAAAAGGATAGAAAGAGAAAGTGAGGAAGGGCCGGTTAGAGAGGACAAGTGTCTGAGCCAGACCTTTTATTACTCCTGTGATTACTTCAATTACCATGTCCCTTGCAGAACTTACTCTCCTTTAGCTTCATTTGGCTTCTGTTAAATCTGTACTTCTTCAGCTTCCCTGTGTGTGTGGCTCTGCTGGTTTTGCACAGACCTGGAGAGCTGTAATTTTCCAAGTTCCATAATCCCACTGCTGTTAAAGAAAAGGTTCAGGAATCAAGCTGTCACTTTAGGTTTCCACAGCTGTAGATAGAAGTGTCTCCGTGAATATCAGGTAAGTTTTAGATAGAATTTGGAGAAAAAGAAAAAAAGAAAGATTAGTTCAATTCCATGTTTGTTTATTTTAATTTTGACTATAAAATATAAAGGTCAATTATAGGATGGAGATGCCAACGTGTCTTTCTCTTGTTCTGTGACACTGCAGGCACCCAGGGCACAAATATTCCTGTGCTGGAATCATAATTTACCTTGGTGACCAGTCCCTGCTCTGCACCAAAGAACATTATTTCCTAGACTTCCCCTTCAGTAATTCCACTGTTTCTCTGGAGGGAACCAAGGAAGACTGGGCTTTGTGTTCTACAACTATTTCCTGTATGGGGAGGCTGGACTGGGTGATTCTGTGTTCACTGAACCAAGATTTTGCCTCCTGATAGCGTGGCTTTCCAGTGGAAAAAAGAAGGCAATTAAAAACTTAGTGGGTTTAGGTGTGTGGTACAGAGGGTGTAGTTAGAAAATTCCTTCTGTAATTTGTTTCTATTAGGTTTATTTTCTATTATACTGAATGTTGTCCTGTTATTGGTTTGTGTGGGCTTCTCTTGGTAAAGGAAGGTATTCCAGCATTCCTGACATGTTTTCCTTCACTGTGTGCCATGATGGATTCATGACACTGCCTAGAGCAGAATAAATTACTGTAACACTCATTTCCCTAAAATACACTTAATATCACCATCCATGTCATTTTTTTTTGCAGTTCTATACTGGATTTCCAGAACTACCCTCCTGGGCTTTTGGAATTGGTTCTTGATGGATTGTTTGGAAAACTAGGAAATAAGAAGGTTTTTTATAGTACAGAGATTATAATAATTTTATATTTCTGATTTAATTTAAATTTGTACACGTGCCTAACAAAATAACAGTTGCAATATATTTTTCATGACGTGAAAGCTAAAAGAGGTTTATGGTTTCAAACAAATAATGTAGGAGAGAGTAAACAATATGTGGCCAAAATAAGTGTTCCCTGCAGTTTCTAACATGGATTTATTAACCATAAAGCTCCTTGTATTCCAGGCAAATGGTTTAGTTCAGAATAGATAAATCTTTAAAAACACAACACTGTAACTGTTGGGAAGTCACCACGGCCCTGCCTTTGGTATCTGATTAAAATGAACCAAAGGTTTTACACAAGGCTGACCAGGAATGTTCATATCTCTCCTTCAAAAATAAGACTAAAAAAAATTCCTTGGAATATTAAAAGAAATATTTAAAGAGCTTTCTTCTTCATATGAGTGATGTTAGTGTGATAATGGCTACTCACCAAAAGGTAGGTATGTAATGAGAAGAGGAAATCATATTTACAGGGCTCTGTACCCATAATCCCTCCATCCCTCCATCTCTGACTAACTTTGAGCTCTGTTATCCTGCAGAAATGTGAACAACTGGTTGTCCTGTCAGGCTTTGTGATTTGGAGACAAGTTATCAAAGGTATTCAGCACTGGAAAATGTATCTTGTTATCAAAAAATCCCACCATTCACTTGTTTTTGCTTCTTATAGTAATGTGCAGTTCTTCCTTACCTTCTTGAATGGCTGTCCTTGGTCTTGTAGTACTAAATAATATCAAAAAATCTGCTTTTTCATCTTTTATCTGAGTACAGAAGACACTCGGCTGCCAAAGTGGAGTTTGTCACACAAAGCCTAAAACAGAAGCACACCAGGGCACAGCAGTGCTCAGTGTCCTTCCTGCAGCCAGAGGTATCCACAGACCACAGGGAGCAGGGGTACCTTTGTCCAGGAATCATGAATGCCTGTGTGGGAGCTGGAGGAACAGCTTGCTGCCTTTGGAGAGGTGACTGCTCAGCAGGGGAGCTGGGACAGGAGGAAGGAGATGTGGAACCTGAAGGGCTGCTTGTTTCTACTGAAGTGTCTTTATTTGGTATCTTCTTTCTCTTCCAAGGTACCAAAGAGAGGGACAAGAATTCATTTGCAAGCCTTATGTAATATCCAGCCCTGCCAAGAGGTGCATGCTGGGGGCTCCCTCTCCCCACACAGCACTCCAGGATTCAGGAATGCCTCCGCTTCCTTCTCTTTGCAGAAGGCAAGCACAGACCTCCTACAAGATCATCTCCCACCTCTACTGTGCATCTGTTCATTTTCTGCCTGTCAAGGCTCTTCAGAATTTAAAAGATCTTGCAGGAGATAGGAGAACAAGATTTCAAGTGTGAGTGCATCAGATCCGACGTGAAACATGAATTTTTATTGCTTGACTTATTTTTCTTACTTTTTTCTTTTTTTTTTTTTTTTTTTAAGTGGAAAAGAGAAAGGAGAACTGCTGTGTAGGGAATTGTTGCTTGCAGTATATCTTTCTCAGCAGTAAAAATATCTCCAAGACAGAAGTACAGTTCCCTTTTTAGTCCTGACACCTCCAAAGCCTGATATATGTGGCTGAGTTAGATGGAAAGGTATTATTAGGTTTTTTCTTGGATTATGATGCAAGCTCAAGCTGGCTGGGCTCATCAGGCAGTAAATCCAGTGCAAACAGCTGGGGCCAAATTCTGCTCTTGTCCATGTTGCTGTTTGTGGCCAGAATTCCTCTCCACTGGGATCCTGGTTCCCTTCTATCATTTGTGAGGGTGTGCCCAGGGCATGACTTACAGTGCAACCTGTCATTGACAAAGTAATTCTTGTTGAATGCTATTCAAGAAAAAAAAAAAAAAAAAAGGGTTATTCTTCCTTACACAGCACAGGAATCCAAAATTCAGGCCTTAATCACACAGCTAAGATTTGCTAGGTATGGCACGGGGAGTTATTTATACAGGGCTTTTATCATCAGTGACTTCTTGTTTCAAAAATAAGCCCTTTTCAACTCCTTTCTGGTGTAAAGAAGTGACTCAAACTGTGTTAAAGCATGTAAAGACCTGGAGATCTCCTGTTGACCTCAGCAGGGACTGCACAAGAATTGGGTATCTGTGAGCACAGCAAGTGCTCTTCCTGTCCCAGGCAGTGTCCCAGCCTCACTAACAGCTCCCTGCAGGAATGTCAAACCCATTCTAAACCTGCTCCCAGTGCTGCCTGTGGAACAGGCTGCCCAAAGGCACAGATATAAACCCAGGCCAACCTCCCAGATGTTCCATGGCAAAGGAGCAACTGTGCACTCATAAACACACCAAATAGGTGCTGTAATTCTAAAGGTCTCAACGCTTCAAGATTTGCTGCAGAAAGAATAAAAGCTCACCTGAAAATATGGCCAGTTTGAGAAAATGAAAACTGTCCTGTCAGAAGCCAAGTTCTTGCTTAAATGTCCCAAAGACATATTGCAGCAGAGCCATAAATCCAGATGCCACTGCATGTAGTTCTCAAGCCAAGCTTCCAAAAACCCCAACCTTTGTGAATATCTTTATTTATCAACCTAAATTTAGCGCTGAGATGAGCGACTTCAGCTGAAAGCAGCAGAATATACATGAAAGAGTAAATATTTTCCAATTTATTGCTGTATTTGCAGCACCACCTTTTCAGAGTTTGCAGTCATTCCCTCACACACTAAGAAAATATGTCTTCATCTAAAAGCAGTGAAAAATAATATTTCTGGCCCCCGTCTTAATAGGCATTCTGGCTTGATACAGATGCCAGTATTCCTGAGGCTCTTGTGGGGACAGTCCTCTAAAAATTTCCAAGTTTTAATAAAGTAATGTTCATCTCCTTCAGTGTTTCAAGACAAGTATAAAATCCTTATCCTGGCCCTCCTGTTTCAGCAGTTTTCCCATTCCTTTCCCACTGTCCTGTGCATTAGGTGGACCAAGGGCAAGTAATGGTCAGATTTCTTTTGGGTTTCTTTTCCCAGACAACAATTTAAAAGAGGTAAAAATTACACAAGACATTGCAAGGCACTTGAATTGCTTTGAATTTGCCACTGTAATTCTCCTTGTTCTCCTTTTCCCAGAGACAGCTGAAAATAAGCTGCTCGAAGGAAGAATTACATGCAATACACTCTGAGTTTAACTCATCACTTATCTTGCATCACTGGTGTCCAACAGACACTTCAGGCCATTTGTTCTTTGGACAATGATCTGAAATTGTTCCTGGAATTTTAGGAACAAGATCCCTTTCAGTCACAGTCTAAAATCAGTGGGGGTGATTTTATGAGAGATTAGTTACTCGGGTGAAAATTGGAATCAATCCAAAAAGTTTTCTGTTCTGAGTTCAGAATTCTTGGTCCTGACAATATCTTCTACATAACCAAAAATGCAGGTGAAGGAAGAGCCAACTGAACAGAGGTGATTTTATTACCAGGCTGGATTGTCTCTGCAGCATTCCTATGAAATGGAACGTGCTTACATTTCATAGTAATTTCTGTGGTCATAGAAATATCTCTGCTCCAAAAAGAGGTGGTGTATAGATCTCGTTGCTGGGCCATATGAAAAGAAGATTGCAGACTGTCTGCCAGAAAAGGCTACTCAAGCTTCAAGGAAGCTGAAATCCTCGTGTTTTGTTTGCCAAGGCCACAGAAATCTTCCAATATACAATCACCCACCAGTGATTAAATGCAACTTCCAAAGTGTCCACAAATATTTAAGCCCGGTGCAACTTTCAGAGGTGTGGTTTGGTAATTAAGGTGATGGGTGCAAAGAAAAACCACTGATTTTCCCTCAGGGATCCCTGTGCAGAGCACTTGTGATCCAGCCCCAGAACACAAAGGTGTCAGGCACAAAGTCAAGTTGAGATTTTTCTTTTGAAAGAAAGAATTAAAACCAGAGAGGGTGTGTATTTATCTGAAGTGTGGGCTGCTGATGGGGCTTATGTAAAAGTTTCTTTCAGAGCTCCCCTTTTGCCAAAGAATGCATTAGCAGATATCCAGAAATAGCAGGTTTTATGTGGAATATGTTAAGCTGGTGAGTGCTCAGAGCCTCATTTGCCATCCTTTAGCTGTTCAGTGCTGTTCAGCTCCATGAGTGGACAATGTAAACCAGTTATAATAAGTGGATTATTTATGGTAACAATCTAAAGGACATAAATACATAGTCTTACATGGTTTATTCCAGCAGAGCCCTGTCCCAAAACTTCATTTTTATTGCTGAAATGTTCCAGCCACCGTGTAGCTTTCTGTGTGGCAACAGTGTTCCTGGTCCTCCAGCTTCATCCATAAGCTCTTAAGTATGGATGCCTTTTCCCCTTGAAGGAAATGTGAAATATATCAGGCACTTCTAAAGGTTTACGTATCCTCAAATATCTTCTTTTTTTCCATCTGTATCAGGTGATTAAGAACCATGTCCTTTTTCTTTGCAAAGGGAGTGTAGTTCCTTATATCCCAGTTACTGAGGAGTAATTTCCAGGGAGCCAGGGCTGAGCTCAGCTGCTGTTGGCACACACTTAAGCTCAGGGGAGGGGGCAGTTTGCACAGATGGGCCAAACAGCAGCTGCCCAAGCCAGACTTTGGTTTTAGACCCCCCCTGTCTCTGGTGAGGAGATGGTGGATCCAAGCCTTTCATTCTAGTCCTGTGGCTCTCCAGTCACTCCCAGGCAGCTCTGTCCCTGAACCAAGTGTACCATTTGGCACACTGGCCCCTGATTACAGCTCATGTCACAGCTCTCTTTCCCAGTGGGAATGTTACTGTGCTGCTGCTCAAAACAGCGGGAGAGGGTGGAATTCATATTCCTGAGCCTCGCCCAGCAGAACAGCTTTAGATCCAAGTGCCTCGGTAGCACGAGTGATGGGTATTCTTTAAGCTGCTATTTTACACTTTATTCTCCTATTTCTGCAAATTTTCCCATGATAAATGAATAGAAAAAAATGGGAAAGCTTAAGACAATGATGACCTTCTAATATGCCTTCTCAGTTTATGCCTAAAACCCCACAGGCAGACATTTTGCTTCTGTCTTGGAGACATATTAATGTAAGAAAACCACCAAACCTGGAGGCAACTGAAGCCAAAGGCATTTTCAAACGAGCCACATTCAGTGGCTGAGCAGACATTTGCACTTGTAACACCAGCAGAGCCTCGGCCACAATGACAGGAAGATTACTTTCTGATTTGGCCTCTCAGAGAATTATACTTTTGGCAAACTCTTAGCACAGAACTGTAAATGACCTGTTTCGTTTTGATCTAAATTCAGATCCATATGCAAGAAATATGTCCTGCTAAAGCACAGCTTCCAGCAGCACTCCTGGTCCTCCTGTCACACATATTTGGGAAGGAGCTGAATTCCATGCATCATTGAACAGTAGAAAAAAATACTTTGTTGCAGTTTAGAAAACTGTAACAAATATTTTGATGTTACCGACCCCTCCCAGCAATTTCTTAAATGCAACAATGTGATTTCTGTTGCAGAATGAATAATAAAAAAAAAAGCCATAAGAATGTGGAGGGAGCCAGGCAAGTCCCACCACACCCTAAGAAAAGAGCTCTGCTGTCATTCCCTAAAACAGAGGGCTGTCATTTGGAAATGTTACAGACAGTTCTGCAAGTCCTCTTAGCTCTCTGCCTACCATTTGCTGCTACTTGTGGTTCAGTCATTTCCCAGTAAAATCTGGGCTGTGAACAAAAGGCCAGACAATTACAACAACTTTTTTTTGGCTGGTAACAGGAACTGGTTACTTCTCCCTAAGGAGGGTTGTGAATTTTATGCCCAGAATTTCTTTTGGGGGTCAGCATTACTCCTTAACACAAATATCAAACAGAATATTAAATCTCAGTAATGCTTGGGGACTGTAAAAAAGGTGTAACCCTTCCCTTGGGGCTACTGCAGCACCAATCTGCATTTTTACATTCTATTCCTATTTTCTAAGAGTCTCTGTTAAAAGCACAAATCGCTTCTAAAGGCTCTGTTTGCTCATGAGCAAAGTAATGGCCAGAATCTTCTATGAATAGAAAGAAGGTATGTTACAGAATGGGCTTAAAAACAGAGAAATCCAACCACTACTTTGAGCTTCATGAAATCTGCTTGACTAGGTAGAGAATCTTAGAATTACAAGGTCAAAAAATGCAGAGTATTATCTGCTAACCCAGGCTCAGGGAAAGGCAGAAATCATTGTAGTAAGTGAATAAGCCAAAAAAATCAAAACCTGACAAAAACCAAACCAAACCAACAAAACCCCAAAAACAAACCTCCCAAACAAGCAGAAACCAAACTGAAATAAAACCAACCCAACCCCACACCTGATGTTAAAAGTCATTGTAATAAAGAACCTGTAAATAGCATTTTCCTGCTCATTTTGCTGTTGGAAGCTGCAGCCTACCCCAGACTGAACTTCTCCCTACATGCCTAAAGCCTGTCTCCCTGGGTAAAAAGAACATTTTGGGTCTATGCACCCACAAAATTACACAATGCCTGGCTACCCCAGAGAATTCTCTTTTCAGAAGCAGCTACAGCTGAAGGCACTGATCCACTCCTTGGTCCTGACCAGCCTCACCTGGGGCCCTGCCCACACCCCTTCCCATAGGTCCTTGGGCCCCATTTAAGCTCAAGCTTGAGGGCTGTGTGCTGGTTTAAACTGGGCTGGTCTTTAGGGCTGATTTTAGTGTCTATGTTGCAGCTTCACCTCCTGTTGGAACAGCTCCTGCACGTGGTTCATCCCCTTGCCACATTTGAGGTAATGGATGGATTTTGTTGCTTGTAACTGGTGTTCTATGCTGTGCTTGGATCTTGGGGCATGCTGTTCTGCTTGGGTCTGTGCTGGGATCCTCCTCAGGTCCTGGCTCAGCCCTGCTGCTGGAGTTGCACTGCTTTTGTTGCTGCCTGATGTGTTAAATGAGGCAACAAATAGACAAGAACTGGAGTGAAAGTGTGGAGGGGGAGAGTTAATGTGAATTGTGAGAGTTAAACTTATTTTCCTGATGCTTCAACACTGGGAAGCATCTGGACTTGCTTTAAA